CAAACTCCACACAGAAAAACTCCACACTGCAAAAGTCTCTGATCTGACCAAGAATTTAAAACTTACATCAGGTTTTTCATCTGGTTTTCAGCTTTACTATCGACTTACTCGTTCTGAAACACTTCTATTCTAGTTTACACTGAAAAAACAATGTCTAGATAAATTAAAACAACTTTCAAATTACTGTTAACACTTTATAATAAACAGCAAACTAATCATTCCCTAACCCCTTGTTAATATTTATTAATTGTTAATAAAATATTGATTTGGCACAAGTTAATACTAATATTTTTCATTATTAACTAAGGTCCCGGTCAAACAGAAGTAAACAACAAGGCCAAAAACTCAAGTGAATTCATCTGATATAAAAATGTATTGAACAGATACATATGTACTCGAGTTTATCAAACTGTTGACCTTTTTTCTGTTCCATTTTTGGTTCTAAAGTTCCATATGTTTTAAACAGACCATGAATGAAACATGGAACAAAAATTATTTCCCAAATTTCAAAGACCTGAAAATCATGTAAATAAATGTTTGTATTTCATCATATCTTGTGTTATTCCATCTTTGAACTGTTGATGAAGGGACAGGATTTAAAAAAAAAAAAAAAAGTATTTAAAATGATAAAAAATGTTCTTGGAAGGACTGACATATTTTATAGAAATAGTTTCTTTCATTTTGAAGTAATATTAAAGTATTCAGAAGAAAAAAGCGACAAATGATGTAAAATCCTGCACCTTCTACTTGTTTGTACAATTTTCCCTCCGTTACTTTTCCCTCCGTTACCATGAACTTTCTTAATAAAAAATCTCATGAGTCAAAAAGTCAGAGGTTTTTCAACCTAATCTTGTACCATATGGTAGAAAACTATATGAAGCAAATATTCAAACCAGTTTGTTAAGGATATGTAAGTGAGAACCAAGAGTTATCACTGTTTGGATTTATTGACCAAAAAGTGCTGCATATTTCATTCCCTCCGTTACCAACATGAGTTTTTAAATTTTTTTGTCTTGAACTTGAAAGAATCTCACAGGTTTAACTTGACCCTGTTGGAGTGTAACTCTTTCCTACATTCTGATACTTTACTTATTTCAATAGTTCCTCTAGTTTCTGAATAAGAGACATTTGAATGTCAAAAATCTGACCCTGTTTCCTCCGTTAACACTTGACTGAACCTTTAAACATTAGTTGTTTGCACAAAATCTGTGTATTAATGTTTTAATTAACAGAAAACAATTTATTAACTAATACTGTATTAATATGGTTAATACTGAACTAAATGTATTTATAGCATTAATTAATAGTTATTTTCACATTATTTAAATGTTATTTACAAACTATGTTAATATAAAAGTGAATAACACATGATTTTTTAACTGTTATTAAACTGAGATTCTGCTTTTCTCCACATGAATCTCTCCTCAGAGAATCTGAATAATAAAGTTAATGAATATATTAGTAATTTAATATATAAATATAAGTGTAGGCGTCTTATTATAAAGTTGGAACAGTAATTTTAACTATTTACAAATATTTCTTATGATATTTATTAACAACTGCAAATATTTTACAGTGCGTCTCACATCAATATAAATATGAACAAATATTAATACAATGTTAGTTAACAGTAATAAAGCAAACAACTAATGTTTAGTTAAAGATGAAAAACAAGTAACTTGTGCCAAACTGATATTTTAGTAACAATGAACAAATATGAACAAAGGATTAATAAAGTCATTATTACTACAACTTATTATAAAGTTTAGTGGAATAAGTGTTTTTCTTCATTCAAGCAACATTTGATTTTGTTTCTTATTTAAAAAGTTGTTGTTTTTCTGATTTTAAGTGCAACAAGATGTATTCTTGTTTCCACTGCAGATAATTTTACTGTCGAGTGAAATTTTGTCAAATCATGATCAAACTTTATTAATTCAAGTCGTCTTAACTTGACTAGATTTTGTTTTTTGAAGTTTATGTGAAGAGAACGAACGAGTGAAACGATCTCGCTGCACGAACTGAAAATTTCACAACTTTTAAGTCACTTTCTGATAAATTTAAGTGTTTAGATCTTAAATTTTGCCCAAGTTTTTTCTTGTGTCAGTGGAGATTTGACACTGTAGAATTTTTGCGTGGAAACAGAAGAAAACCAGAGTGTTTAAAAGCAGCACACACACAGGTCACGAAACACACACACACACACACACACACACACACACACACACACACACACACACCCCTCTCCCCCCGTGTGCCGAGGGTGTGAACGGGTCAGCTGATAAGAACACACACACATGTACACACGTGTATATGCACACACACACACACACACACACACACACACACACACACACACACACTCGTTCGCTCGCTCGACCTGTTCCCCGCCCTGCTCCATCTGTTTGCTCTGCTCCAAACACACTGTAAGTACACAGAAGAAAAAAAGAAGGAGAGAAGAGAGAGAGAGAGAGAGAGAAGAGAGAGAGAGAGAGACAGAGAAGAGAGAGAAGAGAGTGAAGAGAGAGAGAGGAGAGAAGAGAAAAGAGAGAAGAGAGAGAGAAGAGAGAGAGAGAGAGAGAGAAGAGAGAGAAGAGAAGAGAGAGAGAGAAGAGAAGAGAGAGAGAGAGAGAGAGAGAGAGAGAGAGAGAAGAGAGAGAGAGAGATAAGAGAGAAAGAGAGAGAGAGAGAGAGAGAGAGAGAAGAGAGAAAGAGAGAGAAGAGAGAGAAGAGAGAAAGAGAGAAGAGAGAAAGAGAGAGAAGAGAGAAGAGAGAGAGAGAAGAGAGAAGAGAGAGAGAGAAAGAGAGAAGAGAGAAGAGAGAGATAGAAACAGAGAGAGAAGAGAGAAGAGAGAGGGCAGAGAGAGTGAAGAGAAGAGAAAGATAGAGAGAGAGAAAAACACACAGAGAGAGAGAGAAAGAGATAAAGACAGAGACAGAAGAGAGTGAGAAAGAAAGACAGAGAGAGAGAGAGAGAAAGTGAGAAGGGGAGGAGCGAGGGAGGACACATACTGATAGAGAAAGAGAGAAGATATAAATAAGTCTACGTCTCTGTTCAGGCTTCAGGGTTAAAGCTAAATTTTGATTTTTTCTTTGTGAAATCAGATTTTTTTTTTTTTGCGACGTCGTTCACACCGAGTCACATTTAACTGGAAATGAAATTTAAACTTTAACCTCAACAAAAGTGTCCTCAGACAAGCTAAGAGAGACTAACCAGGACTAAACAGAGACTAAACCAGGACTAAACCAAGACTAAACCAAGACTAAACCAAGACTAAACCAAGACTAAACCAAGACTAAACCAAGACTAAACCAAGACTAAACCAAGACTAAACCAGACTAAACCACTAAACAGACTAAACCAGGACTAAACCAAGACTAAACCAGGACTAAACCAGGACTACGACTAAACCACTAAACCAGGACTAAACCAGACTAAACCAAGACTAAACCAGACTAAACCAGGACTAAACCACTAAACCAGGACTAAACCAGGACTAAACCAGGACTAAAACCAGTAAAACCCAGGACTAAAACCAGGACTAAAACCAAGACTAAAAATATGGACTAAAAACCAGGACTAAACCAGGACTAAAACCAGACTTATGAAAACTAGGACTAAACCAGGACTAAACAGAACTATTAAACCAGGACTAAACCAGGACTAAAAGTCCAGGACTAAACCAGGACTAACCAGGACTTTAAAGACCGGCGTCTTCCACGCCACTGAGCGAAGAGCAGCCGTCGTCCCATCGCATTTTGCAGACACCATGCTCCACGGGCTTGGGGTTCTCTTTAGTCCAAGTTTAAGTTTCCTGGTTTAGACCTGGTTTTAGTCCTGGTTTTAGTCCTGGTTTTAGTCCTGGTTTTAGTCCTGGTTTAGTCGTAGTTAGTCCTGGTTTAGTCCTGGTTTAGTCCTGGTTTAGTCCTGTTTTTAGTCCTGGTTTAGTCCTAGTTCAGTCCTGGTTTAGTCCTGTTTTTAGTCCTGTTTAGTCCTGGTTTAGTCCTGGTTTAGTCCTGGTTTTTAGTCCTGGTTTAGTCCTGGTTTAGTCCTGGTTTAGTCCTGGTTTAGTCCTGGTTTAGTCCTGGTTTAGTCCTGGTTTAGTCCTGGTTTAGTCGTAGTTCTGTGCTGGTTTAGTCCTGGTTTTAGTCCTGGTTTTCCTGGTTTTAGTCCTGGTTTTAGTCCTGGTTTTAGTCCTGGTTTAGTCCTGGTTTTAGTCCTGGTTTAGTCCTGGTTTAGTCCTGGCTTAGTCCTGGTTTAGTCCTGTACTGGTTTAGTCCTGGTTTTAGTCCTGGTTTTAGTCCTGGTTTTAGTCCTGGTTTAGTCCTGGTTAGTCCTGGTTAGTCCTGGTTGTCCTGGTTTTAGTCCTGGTTTAGTCCTGGTTTTGTTAGTCCTGGTTTAGTCCTGGTTTAGTCCTGTTTAGTCTGGTTTAGTCCTGGTTTAGTCCTGGTTTAGTCCTGGTTTAGTCCTGGTTTAGTCCTGGTTTAGTCCTGGTTCAGTTTGTCCTGTGCGGCGCAAAAGTCCAACATCTCGATGAATGTTTCTTCTGCCTGTGAAGTTTCAACAGTCGCGTCGCGTCTGTGAGTTCGCGTTCGTTCTGAAGAAAGTGAAACTGTTCCATTTCATTTCGTGATTGTCGTTCTTAAAGTCGTAACGTTTCAGTTCATATTCTGATGGACGCTTCAGTTAGAATGTTTTTAATCTGTGTGTGATTCATCTCATGTACGAGCGGGAAACAGGTGGAATGTTCACGGGTCCGGGCGGCTGCGGGTTTCACTTTAATAAAATCTCGGGTTAATGGGCGTCAAAAAACACCTTGACGTTTCTATTTGGAGCCTTTTCATTTGAGTTCAGACGCCCCGACGCTCGTGTCTTTGACGCCGTGGACGAACGGGACAAAAATACTTGACGCGCGTCCGTTGCCCTGGAAACAAGAGCCCGGTCCAGATCTTTACCCGAAACAATGTCAGACCAGACTGAGAGACTTTAGAGTTTTTATGACATAAAACATCAGCGGAGGAAATCGACTCGACGACTGGAGCCAGTTTATATTTATACTCCACTAATGACACTGGATCAGTCCCGGTCTAGTCCTGGTCTAATACCGGTCTAGTCCCAGTCTAGTCGTGGTTTGGTCCCGGTCTAGTCCTGGTCTAATACCGGTCTAGTCCCGGTCTAGTCATGGTTTAGTCTCGGTCTAGTCCTAGAGTTTGGTCCCGGTCTAGTCCTGGTCCAGTACCGGTCTAGTCCTAGTCTCATCACGGTCTAGTCCCGGTCTAGTCGTGGTTTAGTCTCGGTCTAGTCCTAGTTTGGTCCCAGTCTAGTCCTGGGCTAATACCGGTCTAGTCCTGGTCCAATACCGGTCTAGTCCTAGTCTAATCACGGTCTAGTCCCGGTCTATTCGTGGGTTTAGTCCCAGTCGGGTTTAGTTCTAGTCCTAGTTTGGTCCGGTCTAGTCCTGGGCTAATACCGGTCTAGTCCTGGTCCAATACCAGTCTAGTCCTAGTCTAATCAGGTCCCCGGTCTAATCACGGTCTAGTCCCGGTCTTAGTCTTTTTAGTCCCGTTTAGTCCTTGTTTAGTCCTTAGTCCCGGTCTCTAGTCTCAGTCCGTCCCCGGTTTAAGTCCCTGTTAGTCCGGTGTATCCCTGTTTAGTCCGGTGTTTGTGGTGTGTATATATTTATGTTCCGTTCATGTTTGTGTTCCTGGGGTTTTTTCTTCCTGATAATAACGTCGCTGCGTCTCTGGACACTCGTCCCTGATTGGTCGACGCGCCGAGTCTGACGCAAAAAGTTCAGCATTTTCAACTTCTTGACGCCGACGCCTCGGACGCGCGTCTAGAGCCAAAACGCTCAAGACGCGCCACAAAAACGCAGGACGCTGTAGTCGCGCGTCCACATCGACTTCACATAGAAACTGGACACTTTGACGCTTTGGTGTGAACGAACCTTAAGAGTGTGTTCCCCCCCCAGTGTTCAGCTCCAGTCAAATGAAGCTCATCGAGGCCTGCGGGTACAGGGCTGACTTTGAAGCCACTCCCAGATTACGAACGGGAATTTATTTACTTACAGACAAAATAAGAAAATAAAAACCCCAGGATCATGTGTCGAGGGTTAATGTGAACATTTAAGAGAAAAAAGACGAGGCTCAGAGCAGCAGGAACAGACAGACCAGACAAACAAAACAAAAAGAACCGGAGCCAGAGTCGATGGAGCCGGAAGTGCCCACATGCACACTTCCTGTTTGGACCCAGTGTGACGTACCTGCACTCGGAGAGCCAACTGCTGATCTTATGTGGGACCCGCCCTGAAACACACAACAACAACAACAACGTTAGACACACACACACACACACAGACACACACACACACACAGACACACACACACACACACACACACACACACAGACACACACACACACACACACACACACACACACGACACACACACAGACACACACACACACAGACACACACACACACACACACACACACACACAGACACACACACACACACACACACACACACACACACAGACACACACACAGACACACACACACACACAGACACACACACACACACACACACACACACAGACACACACACACACAGACACACACACACACAGACACACACACACAGACACACACACACACACAGACACACACACAGACACACACACACACACACACAGACACACACACAGACACACACACACACACAGACATGTATGTGTCTGTAAACTGGATTCAATGGTCTCAGTGTAGAGAGTCGGATCTTTATAACGAGGCAGAACCTGCACACGTGGACCATCAATCCAGACCGGCAAGATTTAGGCCAAGAGCCGATATGTCTCCAAGTGCTCATAACGGCCAACAAATAAATCCGTCAGGCCTAGGAATGGGCATGATTAGTCGATTAATCGATAATTGATCATTAAGAATTTTGTCGATTACGTTCATTTTTAATCGGCAAACTGAATGTAGGCTGCTGTGCGTCGTGTAGGGAGACCAAAGTCTGTTTTTCCATATCCTGTTCTACCTGTCTGGGTTTTTTTTTTTTTTTTTTTTTTATAAAGTGATTCAAATGTTCAGGTTTTCATTTCCTTTCATTGGGACATTAAACTGAGCGTCTCTCGTAGCGTCTCTGCACCAGAAGGAGTGAGACACAAACAATCGGTTGAAACACAAATGCGCATTTAACGATGACTTGTACAAGAAATTCTCCGCTTTCCGTCTCGATCGGGACAAGTGTGAGTTAGGGGTGGGCGATATATCGATATTTTAAATATATCGATATGAATTCTGACATATCGTATATATCAATATAATGCTTTTATTCAATTTAGATTTCGGCGTTTCGCTTTGTTTATCTTCTCTCTCGTCGCCTCCCTGATTTTGTTCGCTCGAGTCTCCTTCACTCGTCACTGTCGCCATTAACGCCGAAAGTTGGTGCCAGTGAAAAGCTTCAAGCTCCACGAACCTTTTCCACCATTTACAGACAAAACCATCAGCAGCACATCCTCATGTTCCACCGAGTCGCGTCCTTTAATCCGAAAGAAGCTAAACGAGCTGAGCTGCAGGAGAAGTGCTGTTTATGCAAATGAGTCATGCGCTTACGCTTTGTTTCTGTAAAATGTAAACACACGTGCGCAAAACTGCATTAAACACATGATTATCTCAAACAGGCTGATGTGGCTCTAGAGTCGTTATGTTTTATTTATTGTAAAGTTTATTTATGCAGATGATTTTAATAAATAATCTGCTGCAGTGTCACTTGTACAACAGTGTTTGGAATCGTTGGGTTTGATCTGCAGTGGATTGTGGGATTAAACCTCAGATCCTGACGCTGGATAATAACATGGATCTGTTAAAATAAGGAACATCCTGAGCTTCTTCTGCTGAAGGAGCTCATGGTGGAATTGAGTGAGTTGAGTTGTCTTTATTTATTGTTTTAATTAGTTTTTTATTTATGTTGTTTTGTGAATCTTAAATGTTCCTGTATGAACTTTGACCTTGTGGAATTTGTTTTTTTTGTTTTTTTTCCTGTACAGATATGGAGATATATATCGTATATCAAGATATAGCAAAAATATATCGAGATATATTTTTTGATCCATATCGCCCAGACCTAGTGTGAGTCCATGTGCACAGTGAACAAAACAGCACATATGTGTCAGTGTCCAGTGTGTCAGGGACCTCAAAGCACCAGGACACAGAAAAACATGAAAAAGTTTTTCCAGGTGAGAGTCGCTCAATGTGGATGACGAGGCCCCGCCCCCCTCCCCCCGTACGCTGTCCTGGTTTTGACAAACACAAATCTGGTCACACTGACCTGTATTCACCTGAGTCATGTCTTTTAATCCAACACAAGTTGAACCACATCAGCGACACAAGAGCTGGAGTTTTATCTTCACTTAGTTTATGTAAATTAGTGATGTGGTTTTAAGTTTTGTTTCTGTGAGATTTGAACAAAACTGAATTAAACACATTATAATGTCAAACAGCTGATGTGGATCTAGAGTCGTTATGTTTATATGTCGTAAAGTTGAATTTATTTATGCAGATTAGTGCAGATAGTAATAATAATGATGATCATTTTAATATAAAAACGTTAATGATTAATCGATAATCGATCGTTAATTCTTCCGACGATCGATGAAGAAAATTTTATCAAATGCCCGTCCCTAGTCAGGCCCTAATAATCACCTCTGACCCTGTGTCTCCAGAGTCTTACACCTGCAGACAGAGACACAGAAACACGTCCTGCGTTTGTCTCAGTTTCTGTTCTTGTCTCATGTGAAGCTTCAAACCTCCAGATCTCGTCCCTGAGCTGCAGAGGCTGCACTAGCACTGACTCATGACGACTGCACTGACACTCAGCTGCACTGCACTGACTGCACTCATGACGCTGCACTAGCACTGACTCATGATGCTGCACTAGCACTGACTCATGACGCTGCACTAGCACTGACTCATGATGCTGCACTAGCACTGACTCATGATGCTGCACTAGCACTGACTCATGATGCTGCACTAGCACTGACTCATGATGCTGCACTAGCACTGACTCATGACGCTGCACTAGCACTGACTCATGATGCTGCACTAGCACTGACTCATGACTGCATGCTGACGACTGCACTAGCACTGACTCATGACGCTGCACTGACTCATGACGCTCACTGCACTGACACGCTGACTGCACTGACTGCTGCACTAGCACTGATCATGACGCGCACTAGCACTGACGCTGCTGCACTGAGCACTGACTCATGACTGCTGCACTGACACTGACTCATGACGCTGCACTGACTCGTGACGCTGCACTAGCACTGACTCGTGACGCTGCACTAGCACTGACTCGTGACGCTGCACTGACTCATGATGCTGCACTGCACTGACTCATGACGCTGCACTGACTCATGACGCTGCACTACTGCACTGACATGACGCTGCACTAGCACTGCACTGACTCATGACTGCGCTGCACTAGGCACTGACTCATGACGCTGCACTGCACTGACTCATGATGACGCACTGCACTAGCACTGACTCATGACGCTGCACTAGCACTGACTCATGATGCTGCACTAGCACTGACTCATGACGCTGCACTGCACTGACGCACTGACTGATCATGATGCTGCACTGCACTGACACTGACTCATGACTCATGCTGCACTAGCACTGACTCATGACGCTGCACTAGCACTGACTCATGATGCTGCACTAGCACTGACTCATGACGCTGCACTAGCACTGACTCATGACGCTGCACTAGCACTGACTCATGACGCTGCACTAGCACTGACTCATGATGCTGCACTGGCACTGACTCATGACGCTGCACTAGCACTGACTCATGACGCTGCACTAGCACTGACTCATGACGCTGCACTAGCACTGACTCATGACGCTGACACTGAGACTACTGACTGCATGACTGCACTGACGCTGCACTATGACACTGACGCGCTGCACTCATACTGACTCACGCTGCACTGACTGCGCTACACCGACTGACGCTCACTGACGCACTGACTCATGACGCTGACGCACTAGCACTGACTCATGACGCTGCACTAGCACTGACTCATGACTGCACTAGCACTCACTGCACTACACTGACTCATGACTGCACTAGCACTGCACTGCACTAGCACTGACTCATGACGCTGCACTAGCACTGACTCATGACGCTGCACTAGCACTGACTCATGACGCTGCACTAGCACTAGCACTGACTCATGACGCTGCACTAGCACTGACTCATGATGCTGCAGGTTCTGGGGTTTAGGGAGAAACGTTCAGATCAGAGACACATTTTAGGTTTAAACCCAAATGTTGGAGTCACGTGAGGCTCGTTCTTCTTTCTGTTGATCACGTCTCATGTTTATTCAGAATAAAACAGTTTTTTTTTAGTCGTTATCAGTAAAAGTCGTGTTTGAGTTGAACGTGTTTCCCTCGTGTCTGTGGAGGTCGTGTTTACGGAATTTTAATATTTAATCTTATCAAACGCGTCACGAGGCGTTTTTGATAACCACGTTTCTCTTATGCCAGAAAAACTCAGATCAGACTTTATTATTGGATTATTCTAGAAATATGTTTGAATATATGTACTTTTATTTTGAAATCTGCGCTTTTATTTTGGTTCTAAACACCAGTCTGCAGAACAGGAAGTGTGAAAAATAAGAAAAAGAGATCAGAACGCAAGTTGGTAAAGACTCATACAGATAAAAATCTAATTTAGTGTAAGTTCTACAGAAACAGGACTAAAACAGGGACTAAAACCAGGACTAAACCAGGGACTAAACCAGGGACTAAACCAGGACTAAAACGAGACTAAATCTGGATTAAACCTGGATTAAACCTGGATTAAACCGGGACTAAACCAGGACTAAACCAGGGACTACAACCAGGGACTAAAACTAGACTAAAACGAGACTAAACCAGGACTAAAACAAGACTACAACAGGACTGAACCAGGACTAAAATAGGACTAAACCAGGACTAAAATCAGGACTAAAATCAGGATTGAAACAGGTCTGAAACAGGACTGAACGTGGTCTAAAGCAGGTCAAAACCAGGCCTAGACCATGTCTAAACCGGTCTCAGTCATGATCTCAGTTCTGGTCTGGTAACGGCCTCAGTCTCGGTCTCAGTCCCAGTCTCAGTCCTGATCACCCGACAGTCTACGCGGGTGCACCTCCAGGCCCGTCAAGACACTCAGTCCTGGGTCAGTCCTGGTTTAGTCCTGGTTCCCTGGTCCAGCCCTGGTCCAGCCCTGGTCCAGCCCTGGTCCAGCCCTGGTCCAGCCCTGGTCCAGTCCTGGTCCAGTCCTGGTCCAGTCCTGGTTCCTGTCATACCCGCTGTCCTCCACCAGGGGCCGCTGCGGTACTGACCATTGTGCTGTTCGCTGCCCGGGTCCTGGTTCTGGCTCAGGTCCTGGTTGAGATCCCGGTGCGGTCCTGGTTTTGGGGAGGACTGCCACAGCGAGTCTCGGCTCTGAGCCCACAGACGGCGCCGGCGTTCTGCCACAAACAAACAAACAAACAAACTCAAACTCAGACTCAGACTTTTAGGTTTAAAGCTGCATTGTGTAACTTTTCCGGTGGAGACATGTAATTGTTTTGTCTGGAATGTCCCACACTACGGCATTAAACCTTTTTTAGCTTCATGGAGACAAAACCGGACCATGTTCCAGGTCAGATCTGATGTTTTTCCTCGGTATTTTCGAGCGATAAAACCTCCTGCAATTGAATAAATGTAAAAGAGCCGTTTAATGTCACACTGCGGAACATTCCAGGTAAAGCTATGACGTATCCATAGAAACAAAATGAACATGAAAATCATCATCGCGATTAGGGTTGTAACAAAAAACTAAATATCGTGAAATCGTATCGTCAAAAGTCTCACAATAATATGGAGAATCTGTGTGTCGTTCGTTCATTTGTTTTTCAAAATAAAACCAAAAATAAGAAAATGAAAAAATATATTATTTTTTCATTATTTGTTTCCAAAACCCAAAATTTAAAAAACAAATAATGATTCGTTTTTTTTTTTCCAGTTTTCGATTTTATGTTTAAATGAAAAATGGAAAAAAACAGATAACGGACTAAACCCGGATTAAACCTTGGACAGGGACCAGGACTGAGACCAGGTCCTGGGACTTAGACTGGGACTTAGACTGGGACTTAGACTGGACTTAGGGACTTAGGGACTTAGACTGGGACTTAACTGGGACTTAGACTGGACTGACTGGGACCTGGACTGACTGGGACTGGAACTGGGACCTGGACTGGGACTGGACTGGGACCTGGACTAAGACAGGACTAAGACTAAACAGGACTAAGACAGACTAAGACAGACTAAGACAGGACTAAGACAGGACTAAACAGGATTAAAACAGGACTAAAACAGGACTGAAACAGGACTAAACCAGGACTGAGACAGGACTGAACCAGGTTCGGAACCAGACCAGGACTGAAAACTGTTTATTATTCAAAACATTTTTTGTTTTTTCCATTTTTCATTTAAACACAAAATCAAAAACTGAAAAAACAAATCTTTATCTGTTTTTTTATTTTGGTTTTGGAGACAAATAATGAAGAAAACTGTTTTCATTTTCTTATTTTTGTTTTTATTTAGAAAAACAAATGAACGAATGACACACAGATTGACTATAACCCACTATTTTTTGTTTTGTTTTGTTTTAAATATATTTATTGTCTGGTTTTTGCCATTGTTCTTGAGACACACATCTCTGTTTATTTAAATTAATGTGAATTGAAAGTAGTTTTAATGTTTTTTGCAAGTATATTTACATTTTTGTTTACATCCATTACAAATGATGATGATTTTATTTATTTTTTTTAATAATTATTGTTTAAAAGTAAAATACTCCCATTTAATTTCATTGAGAGAAAATCAAATTGCTCTGAGGGAAATTAGTTGGGGGCCCCTCCAGGTTTGGGGGCCCCATGAGAACATCTACTTTTGCCTAACGGTTGCGCCGCCTCTGGTTACATCCCCAGTCACGATTATTTTGGTCAATATTTAAATCACTATTATTTTTATTTTTTAAGTTACACGATGCATTTTATTCAGCATTTCCCAACCCCCCCCCCAAAAAAAAACAAAAAAAATACACTTTGTTATTGATAATTTACGCAAAAAATTCTAATTAAAAATAAATTCAGGCTGCAGATATGAACCTTAGACCAGTTTTGCGACGAATAAAACAAAATTAATAAAATAAAATAAACTTTGAACATGAAATAAGACATAGAAAAACAAAAATATATCCAAAATAAACTCTATATCCAGCTGTTCCACAATCTCTAAATTAAAAAATAAAATAAATACACTTATTTAAACAAAAAATATTACAACATAAATGTTAAATTTTATCGTTTCAGCTGGAGATCGTTTGAATTTTGATCACAATTTCGATTTGTGTGTCAATTAATTGCACAGACTGGGCTCTTACACAAATTAATTTAGTAAAATCTACCTAAAAATATTCTTGACGATATATCGATACAGCAGCCCACGATATCGATACTGTATCATCACATTAAACAAAACGATATATCGATATTTTGATATTTTTGCACAGTCCTACACAACAACTTGACAAATGTGGTGAGATGTGCAGGAATTTTATTAATTGTGTCGACTTAAAAATGTGAATTAAACAGTTTAAAAGTGAAAAAGCTGCTCAGTGTGTCAGATCGTCAGCCACAAGAGCAGCCAGACACAGACTGAGCCGGAGAAAGTGCCGCCGTCGTCTTTTGTGAACTCGGCCTCACTAATCTGGTGTTCTGTTTAATCTGGACGAGGTTTGTCCCTGACGGTCCGACAGGTGCTGTGACAGTGTGACAGGTGCTGTGACAGTGTGACAGGTGCTGTGACAGTGTGACAGGTGCTGTGACAGTGTGACAGGTGCTGTGAACTGTCACTTCAGTTTAAACAGAAACGAAAAAGACGACGAAAACGAAAAATCCGACGGTTTTATATTTTACATTTGTTCTAAAAGCTTTAAAACCTGGAACGAAGACGGACTAAACCGGGACTAAACCGGGACTAAACTGGGACTAAACCAGGGACTAAACCAGGGACTAAACCAGGGTCTAAACCAGGGTCTAAACAAGGGTTTAAACCAGGACTAAACCAGGACTAAACCAGGGTTTAAACCGGGACTAAACCAGGTCTAAACCGGGACTAAACCAGGTCTAAACCGGGACTAAACCAGGGTCTAAACCAGGGTCTAAACCAGGACTAAACCAGGGTTTAAACCAGGGTCTAAACCAGGGTCTAAACCAGGACTAAACAAGGGTTTAAACCAGGACTAAACCAGGTCTAAACCGGGACTAAACCAGGGACTAAACCAGGGACTAAACCAGGGACTAAACCAGGGTCTAAACCAGGACTAAACCAGGGTCTAAACCAGGACTAAACAAGGGTTTAAACCAGGACTAAACCAGGGTTTAAACCAGGACTAAACCAGGACTAAACCAGGGTTTAAACCGGGACTAAACCAGGGTTTAAACCGGGACTAAACCAGGTCTAAACCGGGACTAAACCAGGGTCTAAACCAGGGTCTAAACCAGGACTAAACCAGGGTTTAAACCAGGGTCTAAACCAGGGTCTAAACCAGGACTAAACAAGGGTTTAAACCAGGACTAAACCAGGTCTAAACCGGGACTAAACCAGGGACTAAACCAGGGACTAAACCAGGGTCTAAACCAGGGTCTAAACCAGGACTAAACCAGGGTCTAAACCAGGACTAAACCAGGGACTAAACCAGGGACTAAACCAGGGACTAAACCAGGGTCTAAACCAGGGTCTAAACCAGGTCTAAACCCTGTCGTAGCGTCGTGGTGGTGGTGGTGGTGGTGGTGTTTGTCGTTTTGGGCTCCTCACCTGCGGGGGGGCTGGACTCCGGGGCCCCTGAGCTTTCCACGGGCCCCTGCATCACAGCACAGGATCAGACGGGCCCCTGGAACAAAACACACAAACACAAAACAAACGTCACATTCTACTGAAGAAAGAACGAGATTATTTATTTATTTACTTATTTATTTTAAATATTCTAATCATGGTATCGGTATCAGTATCGGGTTTCGATAAATTTTAGACAGGAGCAGCGGCGTGTGAGACAGGAAGTGTGCGTTTGGGATACCACACACCACTTCCTGTTCAGAGTTATTTTTAGAGCTGACCACAATGACAAGACAAACGCACAACAACAAGGAGACAGACGCACAACAACGACGAGACAGACGCACAACAACAAGACAAACACACAACAACGAGACAGACACACAACAACAACGAGACAGACACACAACAACAACGAGACAGACACACAACAACAAGACAGACACAACACACAACAACGAGACAGACACACAACAACAACGAGACAGACACACAACAACAAGACAAACACACAACAACGAGACAGACGCACAACAGCGACGAGACAGACGCACAACAACAACAAGAAAGACACACAACAAGACAGACACACAACAACAACGAGACAGACGCACAACAAACAACGAGACAGACACACAACACAAGACAGACACAGACAGACAGACAACACAACAACCGACAGACAACAACAAACGAACAGACCAACAACGAGACAGACGCAACAACACGAACGAGACACGCACAACAACAACGAGACAGACACACAACAACAACGAGACAGACGCACAACAACAAGACAGACACACAACAACAAGACAGACACACAAACAACGAGACAACACAACAACGAGACAGACACACAACAACAACGAGACAGACGCACAACAACAACACAGACGCACAACAACAACGAGACAGACGCACACAACAACGAGACAGACGCACAACAACAACACAGACACACAACAACAACGAGACAGACGCACAACAACAACGAGACAGACAACGAGACACGCACAACAACGAGACAGACGCACAACAACGAGACAGACACAACAACAACAGAGAACACAAGACACACAACAACAGACAGACACACAACAACAACGAGACACACAACAACGAGACATACGCACAACAACGAGACAGACGCACACAGACAGACACAACAACAACGAGACAGACGCACAACAACAACGAGACAGACGCACAACAACAATGAGACAGACGCACAACAACAAACAGACACACAACAACAAGACAGACACACAACAACAAGACAGACAAACAACGAGACAGACACACAACAACAACGAGACAGACGCACAACAACAAGACAGACACAACAACAAGACAGACACACAACGACGAGACAGACACACAACAACAAGACAGACACAACAACAAGACAGACACACAACGACGAGACAGACACACAACAACGACGAGACAGACGCACAACAACGACGAGACAGACGCACAACAACGACGAGACAGACGCACAACAACAACGAGACAGACGAACACAACAACGAGACAGACGCACAACAACAACGACAGACGCACAACAACAACGAGACAGACGCACAACAACAACGAGACAGACGCACAACAACAACGAGACAACAGACCAACAACAACAACGAGACAGACGCACAACAACAAGACAGACACACAACAACGAGACAGACACACAACAACAAGACAGACACACAACAACAAGACAGACACACAACAACAACGAGACAGACGCACAACAACAACGAGACAGACGCACAACAACAAGACACACAACAACAACACAGACGCACAACAACAAGACACACAACAACAACACAGACGCACAACAACGAGACAGACAAACAACAACGAGACAGACGCACAACAACAAGACAGACACAACAACAAGACAGACACACAACAACACGACAGACAACAACAACGACGAGACAGACGCACAACAACGACGAGACAGACGACGCACAACAACAACGAGACAGACGACACAACAACAACAGACAGACAGAGACAGACGACAGACACAACAACAACGAACAGACGACAACAACAACGAGACAGACGCACACAACAACAACGACGCACAACAACGACAGACACAACAACAACAAGACAGACACACAACAACAGACAGACAGACACAAACAACAAGACAGACACAACAACAACAACGACAGACACACAACAACAACAAGAGACAGACACAACGACGACACAACAACAACGACGACAGACAGCACAACAACAACGACAACACAACAGACACACACAGACAGCACAACACAACAACAGACAGACGCACAACAACAAGACAGACACAGACAGACACAACAACAACAAGACAGACACACAACAACAAGACAGACACACAACAACAACGACAGACGCACAACAACAACGAGACAGACGCACAACAACAAGACAGACGCACAACAACAACAGACAGACACACAACAACAAGACAGACACACAACAACAACGAGACAGACGCACAACAACAACAGAGACACACACAACAAGACACAACAACGCACAACGACAACAACAGACAGACAAACACAACAACGAGACAACAGACACCAACAACAACACAGACACACAACAACAACGAGACAGACGCACAACGAGACAGACGACACAACAACAGACAACGACACAAACAACAAGACAGACGCACAACAACAACGAGACAGACGCACAACAACAACGAACAGACAACACACAACACAGAGACAGACAACAGACAGACAAACAACAACGAGACAGACGCACAACAACAACACAGACGCACAACAACAACGAGACAGACGCACAACAACGAGACAGACGCACAACAACAAGACAGACACACAACAACAACACAGACACACAACAACAAGACAGACGCACAACAACAATGAGACAGACGCACAACAACAAGACAGACACACAACAACAACACAGACACACAACAACAAGACAGACGCACAACAACAATGAGACAGACGCACAACAACAACACAGATACACAACAACAACGAAACAGACGCACAACAACGAGACAGACAAACAACAACAGACAGACAACAACAACGAGACAGACACACAACAACACGACAGACACACAACACACACAGACACCAACAACGAGACAGACGCACAGACAGAGCACAACAACGAGACAACGCACAACAACAACAACAACAGACAACACAGACAAACAACAACGACAGACGCACAACAACAACGAGACAGACAACAACAACAACAACAGACACAACAACACAACAACAACAGACGCACAACAACGAGACACGCACAACAACAACAACGAGACAGACGCACAACAACAACGACAGACAGACAACACAACAACAGACGAGACAGACGCAACAACAACAAGACAGACGCACAACAACAACGACAGACGCACAACAACAACGAGACAGACGCACAACAACGAGACAGACGCACAACAACACGAGACAGACGCACAACAACAACGAGACAGACGCCACAACAACACAGACGCACACGCACAACAGAACACAACAACAACAGACAAGACAACAAACGCACAACAACACGAGACAGACGCCAACAACAAACAAACACAACAACACAACACACAACACAGACGCACAACAACGAGACAGACGCACAACAACAGACAGACGAGACAGACGCACCACAACAACAACAACACGAACACAAACAACAACAACACAAGACAGATGCACAACAACAGATGCACACAACAGCACAACGCACAACAACGAGGACAGACGCACAAACAACAACGAAGACAGACAGCACAAACAACGAGACAGACGCACAACAACGAGACAGATGCACAACAACAACAGACAGACGCACAACAACCAACGAGACAGGACGCACAACAAACAGACGAGACAGACGCACAACAACAACGAGACAGACGCACAACAACACGAGACAGACGCACAAACAACAACACAGACGCACAACAACAACGAGACAGACGAGACAAACGTCTTAAAGTCTGTATCGTCAATATTCAGAAAATCAACACTTGTATTTTGTTGTTGAAAGTTGAGACAACAACTACTACAACTACTACTACTACAACTACTACAACTACTACAACAACTACAACTACTACTACAACTACTACAAACAACTACCACAACTACTACTACTACTACACTAACAACTACTACTACTACACAACTACTACAACAACTACTACTACAAACTACTACAACTACTACAACTACTACAACTACTACACAACTACTACACAACTACTACACTACTACTACTACTACTACAACTACTACACTACTACAACTAACTACTACTACTACACAACTACTACTACTACCACAACTACTACTACTACCACACTACTACTACACTACTACTACACACTACCACAACTACTACTACTACTAACTACTACTACTAAACTACTACTACACTACTACTACTACAACTACACACTACTACAACTACTACAACTACTACAACTACTACTACAACTACCACTACTACACAACTACTACAATACTACAACTACTACTACAAACTACTACACTACTACACAACACTACACACTACTACTACTACTACTACTACAACTACATACAACTACTACTACTACTATACTACTACAACTACCACTACTACTACCACTACTACACTACTACACTACCACTACTATACTACCACAACTACACAACTACTACAACTACTACTACTACTACTACAACTACCACTACAACTACTACTATACTACACTACCACAACTACTACAACTACCACAACTACTACAACTACAACTACTACTACACTACTACAACTACACTACCAACTACTACTACTACTACTACAACTACTACAACTACTACAACTACTACAACTACTACACTACTACAACTACTACCAACTACTACACAACTACTACTACACTACAACTACTACAACTACTACACTACAACTACAACTACTACAACTACCACAACTACTACTACACTACTACCTACAACTACTACAACTACACAACTACTACACTACTAC